GTGTGTGTGTGTCTGTGTCTGTGTCTGTGTCTGTGTCTGTGTGTGTGTGTGTGTGTGTGTGTGTGTGTGCAGATCCCCCGCGGAAGCGCGTCGACTCACCCATGCTGAACAGACACGGGAAGAGGAGGCCGGAGAGGAAGTCTATGGAGGTGCTGAGCGTTACGGATGGAGGTTCACCTGTACCGGCACGACGAGCCATCGACATGACACAACACGGACAAAGGTGCAGAAAACACACACACACACACACACTGCTGATATTCTCCGTTTCCATCCATCTATCAACATTCATGATGACTTCCACTGTCTCTTATGCTCAAGGCTGCATTTATTTAAACAAAAATACAGTAACATCAGTAAGATTGTGAAATATTATTACAATATAAAATAACTGTTTTCTATGTGAATATATATTATAAAATGTAATTTATTTCTGTGGTCAAATCTCGTGTCACACGATCCTTCAGAAATCATTCTAAAATACAGATTTTCTGCTCGAGAAACATTTCTGATTATTATCAATGATGAAAAGTTGCGCTGCTTACTATTTTTATGGAAACTGTGATACAATACCATTCAAAACTTTAGGGTAAGTAAAATCAAATAAATAAGTAATTAACCAAATAACTTAAAAAGTAAAGAGTAAGAAATTTTTACTGAACATAAGAGACTTCATACAAAAAACATTTGATCAAATCGTAATTATTCTAAACTGACTGATAGTTTAATTTCTTTTTATTCACAAACTAAGGGACGAGTTGAAATTATTTTTACAATTGTAACTTTTTTGTTTTTAAGATATTTTTATATATTGTTATTTTTTATTTCATGGCCCCTCCGGCTGTTTGTCATCGCGTTTGTTTTGAGAAACATTGAGGAAAAAAACATTCTCGTTTACCAATCACTCGCTTTTTTTTTCTCAACTCAACCTTTTTAAACTCCATTCTTTATGTGACACTTCAAATTTGGGGTTGTCTTTCTAAAAAAAAGCTATCTGAAATACAAACGAATGGGAGAAATACTTTGAACGTATTATACGTATATATTGTATGCTGTCCTTTATTCTCTAGAGCCGTTAGTTCAGTGCTCAGAGACTCACTGTTCGCTGGATTTGTCTCCCGCTGCAGTCAAAGCACGTTCAGTAAAAGCTTGGATATCCCGGATGCCAAACGCAAAGCAAAGAGCAAAGAGGAAAGGTACCAGCCGACCTCTGACCTCCAGAGCTTTAGTCCTCAAAGATGCAGAGATGCTTTTCCTGTCCAGAGCTTTCCAGAGAGACTTCTGTCTGCAATAATCGACTGAAAGAATCATTTAGTTCAAACCATCTCAACACACTTTAGGCCTGCTTAGTGTTATGATATGCGAGTTTGAACTTCATGTTTAAAACAAACTTGCTGAAGGCTAATTAGCATACTTCTACTAAATATAAAAAATGTAATATGTTGCTGATGGTGAAGTACTTTAGGACAAACTACGTTGCCATAAATTGCGTCTTGATACAATATCAGAGTACTGTCACAAACGGTGAATCTCACAAAATTTACATTATAAACAACTGAAAAAGTGCTATTCATTAATATGAAATATGTTAAATTAATATGAAACATAATATATTCTGAGCCTTATTATCTCATGCAGTCTTGCTTCTTGGGTAAGTTTATTTTTATGATTTGTTTTTTTGGTTGTATATTTAGATTTTAACTGTAAAATAATACAAAGTACTCATTTTAAATTTGTACAGTAAATCTTTACACTATGTCATACTATAATAAACTAATTTTATGATGTGACAATTTTATTTTAGTATTATTTATGAATATTTTTAATTAGCTTTTTTTATATTTTTCTTTTTCACTTTAATTTGAAGTTTTTTATGTTTTAATTTTTCTTTAATGTTTTATTTTGCTTTCATTTGTTTATATTTCATTTTTTTGTAATTTTAGTATTTCAAATGAAACTGATTTTATGATCTGATGCAGTATTGCAGTATTATTTATATACTATTATAATGTTTATTTATTTGAATTAGCTTTTTATTTTTATATTTTCAGTATTCATTTAAATGTTATTTTATACTTACATACGCTTTAGTCATTTTGTCTTTTGTCGCTTTATTATTGATTTGTATTATTTCTGTTTACAAATGTATTTATATTCCTATTTGAGTATTTTTAGTACTTCCAATAAATCATATTTCAGTTAGTTGTCAAGGCAGTGTTTTAAGTTTTTTTTTTTTTTTTTTTTAGTTCAGATTTCTTTCTTTCTTTCTTTCAGTCGGTTCTGCTTTCGGTTACCGAAAAAGCTAGAAAAAAACCTAACTTTTTAAGTGAACAAAAGAATAAAATCCATTTTTGTAATTGTATATGAATTTTTCATGAAATCAGGCCGAACATATATTATTTAAAGCATTTCATACAATGCTAAAAGCTACACCTGCTTAGCATTTCCCTTTAAAATATATTTTAATAAAATAATTTAAATAGTAAATGTGACAGTATAAAAAAAAAAAAATTATATTTTTTATTTAAACATATAGTTTGTGAATCGAGGCTCTGTCGAGGGTCCAGAAATTCTCTTTGGATTTCTCATTTTGGATATCATTAAATTAAGTAGCTTACAGTATATAAAACCTCTTGGTATATCCGATGTTATGCCATCTCTCTTGAAGCATCACCTTGCAGCCTTACCGTGAATGAATTTATTTTAGTCTCCACTCTCTTCACTTCCATTTCTCCACGTAAACTTTGAACCCTCACCTTCCACTGTATGATAACAAAGTAGGTCTCATTCCTCCAATTCATCTCAAAACTCAATTTCATTACACTCCTATCATTTCCATTCAAATGGCCAGGCGTATCTGATGGCAGGATTGAAATGAGGAATTGACAGGAGACGACCTGAGACTGACACATACGCCACCTGAGGATTTCACTGTGATTGCCTTTCAGAAGGAAGCAGCCGCATATCTGGAGAAAGACGAGTTCAGTGGGATATTAGCAACTGCTAAATGCATACTAAATGCACTATATGCTAATTGAGCACTTTCTACTTAACAATTATAATAATAATGTGAATTAATACAAACAACAAAACAATTTCAAAAAGAATTATGCTAGATTGTTGTCAAATTACATTATATTTGTCCTATTAATTCATTACACGCGTTTAATTCCAGTGGTTGTCAACGTTTATTTGACCATTTTTGGTAAAAAATAAAATAAAATAAAAACTCTTGGCAATGAATTAATGAGTCAATAATCATTGTTCAAGCTTAAGAATGTCAAGGTGTTCTGAAATGACAGGAAACTCTCTGCATCTTTACTTCTGTTTGCAGTAGATATATAAATAGATTACACACGTAGTTTTCCAGTTTTTAGCTGTGATTTTAGATGCCATTACCTTATATGTAATGGCATAGTCATATACAGCTCATCTTTAGTGTAGTCTTGAATTTAAATTTGTTGTTGTTGTTTTGTTTTATTATTTTTGTTATCTTGTTTTTTTTCAGTGTTTTTTATTTAGTTTTTTTGTGTTTAGTTTTATTTAGTTTTGTTCTGTTTTTTGTTTGTTTGTTTTTTGTGTATTTATTTTTGTGTCCTTTGTGTGTGTGTGTCTGTGTGTGTGTGTTTCTCTCCTGTTTTGTTTTTTGGTTTGTCTTGTTTTTGTGTGTGTGTCCTGTGTGTGTGTGTTTGTTCTTTGTTTTATTTGTTTGTGTTCTGTCTTTGTTTTGTTGTGTTTTTTTGTTTGTTTTGTTCTTCTACTTTTTGTTTTGTTTTTATTTTGTGTCTTTTGTTTTTTATGTTCTGTTTTATTTTGTTTTTGTTCTGTTTATTGTGTTTGTGTTTTTATTTTTGTTTTGTGTCTTGTCTTTTGTGTGTGCATGTGTTTTGTTTTTTCTATTTTATTTTTTCTGTTTTTTGTTGTTTTTTCTTGTTTTTATTTTGTGTATTGTCTGTTGTGTGTGCATGTGTTTTTGTTTTGTCTTGTTTTTGTTTTTTTTTATTTTTGTTTTATGTCTTGTATTTTTTTTCTTTGAGTGTGTTTTATTTTTTATTTATTTTTTATGTTTTTTATTTTTGTTTTGTGTTTGTTATTTAGTGTGTTTTTTGTTTTGTTTTTTGGTGCCAAACTTGTTTCTGTATCATGATTTACTACCTACTAAAATAGTGCTTTTTTGAACTAGAAACAACCTCAGAAACAGACTTTATGTTGCATCATTTGTGTTTGTGTGCTGTTTATCGACTTTAAAAGGCTTGAGATCAGTGTGTGTCAGACTAAAAAGGGACTTTGAAATGTAATTTTTAAAAGTTGGATCTGTGTGATGAAGCATGTGGGAAGGAGCGAGTTTTTTGAAATGGAAAGTACATGAGCAAGAAAAGTGAGTTTTTATGTGGTTGATTTAGGTCAAAAATCATGTTATGTTAACATAAGTCTATCCTCAATTTTAGCAAAGTACATTTTTTAAACAAACTGCCTCCAAAAATTATTAACTGATTCATTTGAATAAATTTAGTTTAAATTTAAACACATTTAGTTGTGTAACTCATTTTTTGTCTTATATAATAGTGATGATTTACCTGTAAACAAAGATTATAATGCTCTGATTAGTCACCATCTAATGCCTTTTACATCTAAATATATAGGTTTAGCAAATTGTGCATTGCATATGCTGTTATGCGCATATCAGTAAGCCATGTGCTGTCTGTGTCCACTCACCCCGTATAACTCTAAAATAAAATCATAACTAAAATTAGCATTAGCTGGATTCTGTCTAGCCATCTGACAGTCATCATAGCGTCTCTATTCACTCTAGACTCCCACACAAGAGAGAAATGCCACTCATGGTTTCAGCTGAGCCTATTGATTTAAATATAAACATCCATTTTAACATTTATCTTAAAGGGACAGTTCACCCAGCAATGAAAATTTGCTGTTAATTTACTCGCCCTCAGGCCATCCAAGATGTAGGTGACTTTTTTTCTTGATTAGAACAGTATATACAGTATAACAGTTAATGTTGTAAATAATGTTCAGTTTCTTGCACAGACCGATTGTTTCACTTCGTAAGACCTCAATATATCGACAGGAGCCACGGGTATTCATTTTGTGTTCCTTGATATGCTTTTTTGACTCTCAAAGTGATGGTAGCTGCTGACTTGCATTAAATGAATCACCAAAGACCACGATTTCAGCTAAAAATCTTTACTGTTCTACTGAAGACAAAAAAGGCACCTACATTTTGGATGGCCTGAGGGGTGAGTAAATTAACAGCAAATTTTCAGAAATAAAAATTCTGCCATTCATTTTCAATGAACTGTCACTTTAACCTTTCTTTCTTTAAGTGTTTTTTCTTTCTCTTGTGATCACTTTCTGTATGTCCCTCGCTCAAAACATTGGCTCTTGCTGACACAACGGCATGTGTTGTTTTTAGTGAAGCTTACCGTTTTTTAGGGCCTCAGATCAGACCGCTGTCCGGCTCAGTGCTTTAGGGCCGAGGGGGCTGCTTTTATCCCAAACAGACCTGACAACTGACCTGGATTAGAGATCCAGAGAGACGCAGGGACAGAGATCAAGATTCACAGTGGCAAAAGTGATAAGAATGTGGAGAGAAACACAAGATGAAAGTTGGTGGAGAAGTTAAATCTTTTGTTGATTTAAACCTAAAAAATGACAGTCAGATATATCACCGTACAGTGGTGCATTGTTTGTAAGGGGAAAGATGAGTATGTCAGAAAAGACTGAGGAGTGCTGGGATGAGAAGGATGCATGAGAGTGAAAGAACAGCTGCTGAGATTCGTGTTGGGCGGCTCTCTGTGCTGATGAAGACAGACTGTGAGCTGATAATGAATGTGCTTCATTCTTGAAGATGATTGAAATGTTCGATCTGTATCTGTGTGGACATCTGCTGTCAAAAATACCCAAACAGTTACAGCTCAGAATGACGCAACTATGCCTGAAGATAGAACTGCACTTTTTTATAAAAAAAAAATTGTTTTATATATATATATATATATATATATATATATAAGCCACAACTGAATTAAATAACAATAACTATCTGTATTTTATCTGTATTTTATCTAGTTAATGACCTGAAGTGTTTCCTGCAAATGCAATATTTTTTATAAAAACAGTATTCATTGTCATGGGGGCAAAATCATACATTTTATGCATGTTATACATTCAAAAGTTTGGAGTCAGTAAGATTTTTTCATGTTTTTGAAGTCTCTTCTGCTCATCAAGGCTGCATTTCTTCAATTAATAATACAGTAAAAACAGTAAAACTGTCAAATATCCTTACAATTTAAAATACTTGAATACTAAAATATTTGAATACTGTATATATTAAAATATATTCCTGTGATACAACGCTGAATTTTCAGCATCATTACTCCAGTCTTCAGTGTCACATGATCCTTCAGTTTAATATTTTTGCAGAAACCATGATTCAGTTTTTTTTAAGGTTCTTTGATGAAAAGGAAGTTCAAAAGGAACAGCAATTTAATGCATCCTTGCTGAATAAACGTATTAATTTCTTAAAAAACAAACAAACAAAAAAATAAATAATTAAATACTCTTTTTATACCCATTAATAAAAATGTTTATGGCCTGATGTGGCCAAAATTTTTAAACCATGCAAATTAGAGTAAACTGACGTATAAAGCTTGATTTTACTTCATCTCTGAGAATGAGAGATGAGATTTGCTCTTGTTGTTTCTACAGTTGCGTGTGTTCATCGGCACCCTGTTCTCACTTCCTGTCCCCTCTCAGCTGTAAGCGGCGTCTGACCATGTGTTTTATGGTCTGTGTCCTCACAGGTCACGGTCCATCAGCGGCGCGTCCTCTGGTCTCTCCACCAGCCCTCTCAGCAGCCCACGGGTGAGTAACTCCGCCCCCAGCACGCCTGCTTCTCTCTGTCCACCAATCAGCACACATCTGCTCAATCACCTTCATGGCAATCATATCACACTCCATTTTGTGTGGGTAGGACACTGTATGTATTACATAGCTGTGATTAGTGATATAGTATCGATTTACATAAAAACAAAATTGGATTGCCATCTTGGGTGTGATATTTAAAAGTTTGACTACACACATATATACTGTATATATATATATATATAATATACACTGCATTGCCAAAAGTATTGGGACACCCCCTTGAATGGACAGGTTTGACTACTTTAGTAATTTCCATGAGTACAAATCTTAATGTTTAAGCAATGTTTAAGCATCTTAATGTTTAAT